ACAACTTCATCTTCAATTCTAATTTGAATGATCTGCCCTCGATTGGTCCCTCTTACACCTGGTTCAATCAAAGGACATATAGTCCTATTCATATCAAATTAGACCGAATGCTTGTTAATGAGCAGTGGAATGCTGCCTACCCAGATTCTTTCTATAGGGTGGACAACCCTGTTGGATCTGATCACTGTCCAATTATTCTGAATTCAGGGACTCCTTCCATCTCTCACCATTGTTTTCTCTTTAAAAATTATTGGGTTAAAAATGAAAATTTCTGGTTCCTCTTATTTCAGGTGTTTGCTGTCAAGTCTAAAGGTAATCCTTTAGTTGACTTATGCTCTAAACTCAAATTACTGAAAGTGAAGTTAAGAAGCAACGCTGGACTTCTTCCAACTCTATGGCTGATAGTATTCAAAAGATTAAAGACAAGCAAGCTGCTTGCCTTCAATCTCTGCAAGAAAATGCTGACTGTATTAACACATCCTTTGAGCGTAAAAATATTAATCAGGAGTTGGAAGCCACCACATCTTTGTGGTACTCCTGGGTGAAGAAAAGGGCAAAAGCTAAGTGGTTAGCGCAAGGGGAGGATGACCTCAAATTCCTTTATTCTAGAATTAGAATGAGGAGGAGCTTTAAAAAAACAACTATCACTTTGGCTATGGCCAAATCTAATTCATCCTTGTCTGATGCTGTTAAGGAGACTATTTCTCACTTTCAACGCCTCTTCAATACTCCTACAAATACGGACTTCAACATCAATTTGTTTCCTTCTGGTAACACCATTCCTACTGCTTCTCTTGAATCCCTCATCTCCCCTTTCACAGATTTGGAAATCAAAACTGTAGTCTTCTCGGGTGCTTCGCATTCGACCCCTGGTCCAGACGGCTTCAATTTTGAATTTTTTAAGTCTACATGGTTGATTTCTGGACCCACGGTATGCAATGCTATTAAAAGTTTTCACAGTAATCCTTACATTCCTCGTGCAGCTAAAGCGACAGCAATTTCTCTCATACCTAAATCTAGTAATGCTGGTGATATTGCTGATTTCCGTCCCATAGCTCTTTGTAATACCATTTACAAAATTATTGCCAAAGTGTTGGCCATGAGGATGAAACCCATTATGCCCCTCATTATAAAAGAAAATCAAGCTGGATTCATCCTTAATAGGGTTTCTACTGACAATGTTATCCTGGCAAATGAAATTCTACAATTTTCTAGAAAATTTTCCAAATTCAATCTCATGTGTGTAAAACTAGATATAAAAAAAGCGTTTGATAGTGTTTCTAGGGAATTTCTGATAATCAGGATGAAACAAAAAGGGTTTCCAGAGCTTTTTGTGAAGTGGATTGAAGCTTGTGTAATGGATGTCTTCTACTCTATCTGTATTGATGGATCCCTTGAAGGGTTTTTTTCTTCCACTACGGGGCTTCGTCAGGGATGCCCTTTGAGCCCTTATCTATTTAGCATTGTCATGGATGCTTTGTCCTATTTACTTGACAATATTGGGTCTGCTAATAATTTTGAAGCTCTATCCATTGGAGAATACAGGCTTTCACACCTCTTGTATGCTGATGATCTTATCTTATTCGGAAAAGCTGATAGGAATAACTGTTAGAGGCTCAATCATACTCTTCACACTTTCTCTTATGCTTCGAGGCTCACTGAAAACTTAAATAAAAGTTTTATTATACTGCCTCCTTCCTGTCCTAATCCTGAGGAAATCTGTTCTACTCTAAATATTAATGCTTCCTCTACTTCTATGTCTTACCTGGGGGTTCCCATTTCCCCATTTAATCCTAAGGTGGCATGCTTTTCTCAGCTTTTGGAAGTGGTTATAAAGAAATTATCTGGGTGGAAGGCAAAATCGTTATCATTTGCTGGCAGGCTCCAATTTTTACGGTACACCATTTGGAATTCTATTGCATATTGGATTAGAGGTAGTATTATACCCAACACTATTCTCAAGCAAATAGATCGGGTATGTGCTAAGTTTCTCTACTTTGGGGAATCTTATGGTAAGAAAATACATCTAATATCATGGAAGAATACTTGTAAGCCTAAAGCTTTGGGGGGATTAGGCTTGCCCTTTTTCCAATCTCTAAAATTTGGATACAGCTGCTCGATCCCTTATCACTAGGATTTATAATTATCCCAGCCCGCTTGCCTCTTGGTTATTTCATGTCTACATCTCTCCTTGGAAGGAACCTGGGACTAAAGCCTCTTAATTCTGGAAAAGTATTTGTGTGGATGCTTGTAAGGCCAAAGACAATTTCCATTTTAGAGTCTCTGTGCACTCTAATTTTGTTCTATACTGGGATCATTGGTTTAAGGACAAAAGGCTTGAAGAGGTCGAGCTGATGAGGCCTCTTCTTGCTGCTTTTACTGTTAATGATAGTATTAAAAATATTCTTAATCATTCTAGATGGGTGCTTCCTGCGAATTTACCCGATGATATACACAATTCTCTCTCTGTTTTACCTGTGTTGTTGGAGCCTCATGCCAACCTTCTTTGGGGTGCTGGTAAGAAAGCTAAGCATAGAGAATTTAGAGAATTTTTTTACAAAGATTTTCTTAAGACTAGTTGGTGGCATTTTGTGTGGCATAAGAGGCATGTTATTAGATTTTCTTCTTTCTGTTGAATGGCGTTATCTGGAGGACTAAAAACTGCTGACATTTTAAGGAGCAGAGGGATGAATGTCAATCCGGATTGTGTCTTATGTCATGGAGGCTATGAGACTGTTAGTCACCTTTTTTTTAATGTGATTACTCATATACTGTTCTCAATTCTCTTTTGCTTAATCTGGAGAATTTGCTTTTGAGACCTAGCATTTTACAAATTTTTGAACATATTGGAGGTAACTCTAAGAAGGAGAAAGAGTATTATTATCTCTTAATTTGCTGTGCTGTTTATCACATCTGGAGAGAGAGAAATGAAAGAAAGTTTGGTGGGAATTCGAGCTCCTCTACTACTTTGGTGATTAAAATCAAAACTGTTGTATTTGGCAAGATTATCAAGTGGAAAGGGAGGGAAGTTCTGTTGGATTTGCTCTGATCTGCATTGGTTCGATTTGCTGTATGCACGGTTGGCAAGTTTATTTTTGGGTTTCTGGTTTATACTGCTGCTCTTCTTGCAGTTTTGATTGAGGTTTTTTGGGCAAGGATGACATATTTGCCTTTTTCTTCTTTGGAGGGCATATTTTTGGGCTATTTATTTTGCAACCAGGTTGAGAGAGCGGCAAATCCTGAGCCCGTGGGCACTCTGTGTGCTCACTGTTTTTGGTTATGTGGCTTCTCTCTAATTTTGGTTTTTTTCTGGGTTGCTGATAGCTTGTATTTGGGAAATTTTGTTTTCTTTCCCTCTTTTCTTTTGTGTCTTGTTCTCTTTTTAAGTAGTTTTACTTAATAGTTCTGCTTACATGTAACTATCTCATTTTAATGAAAAGGGCTTTGCCCATAATTTTCCCAAAAAAAAAAAAAAATGTTGTAACTTCTCTGGAAATGCTTAAATTTGATAGATTAGAATACTTTAAGAATTAGTTCAGCCAGATTATTTCTATGTATTTTGCCTTTGAGAATGTGTAACATGCTTGAGAGCTCATTGGGGAGCTAATCCCTCTCCATATTGGTTGAAAATAGTGTTGTAGGAAGGCTAAACGATAAATCCATATCATTTTATGTTGTTCTTGGATGTGCTTGCAACGTGGCAGGCGATGGAGGCTATGGCGGAATTCGGCACAGGCGTTCTCTGGATGAACCAAACGAGCCAGGCGAAATGATAAAAAATGAGTGGGGGGTTCAGTTTAAGTGCACTTATCGTGGCGTTTCCTGCGGTTGATTTTTCCCTTAAAAACGGCAGCTAAACCACGGGTAAATACGTCATGAAAACAGAATACTAAAAAGTTCAAAAATAGAAACACAAAAATTAAAGTTTTTGTACTAAAAAGTTTCTTTAAAAAACAGTAATAAAACCGTCCCAAATGAAGCCTAAGTTGAGAGCGGCTTCTTCTTCCCTACTTTTGTTATTCAGTGTAATGGTGAACACAAAATACTAAATTACAGTATTAAATTAGTCACACACAGCACTATTTTTACCGTTGTAACTAAAACAATACAACTTTCTTACAAAACCAAAAATCAAAATCAAAATCAAATAAAGCAGCTATCAGTTATAATCAATAAAATTAACTTCTATGGTTCTTCATGACAAGTTTCCTTCTGCTGTTCCAGCTTGTTCTCATCAGATTGTGGCTTCATTCCAGCTTCATCACTATCTTTTCCCCACAGCACCAAGTAAAGCCCAATAATGACAATAACTCCTCCAATTATACTTTAAATGCAAAAACAATCAGTGAATAATAAGTAAAATATGAATTTATTTCATGTTCTTCAAGTGAAATATCTGATATTTACCTTCCTATGAACAGTCTTTCACCAAAAACAAAATATGCTAGAAGAGCCACTAAAATGGTTGAGAGTGGATTGAACATAGTTACAAATACTGGTCCTTTTTCCTTAGTGCACCATAGCTGAATGAAGATTATTATGCCAGAACAAACGATTCCCTGCAATGAAGTTTCTTTCAGAAAAATTTCTTCTAAATAAAATTATGGGCGGATCCATCTTAAGGCCATGGGGAACAATTGCCCCCCCTAAAAGTTTTAAAATACTATGATCTTTAGGCAATTACCCCAATATAATTAAACACATTATGTAGAGATGTTATCGTTAGGGAACGATGAACCAAATACCAAGAGAAATAGTAAAGAGAATCAAAAAATATCCTTAAAACCAAAATTTGTTCCGGCCCGGAACCCCATCAAAGGGGCACTGCCCCTTGACCCCGCTCAGGTCGAACCCTGCCAGGTGGCGCTGCTCCTTGGACCTCCGACATATCTGTGAAACGTACAACGATGAACAAATAGGAGTCGAGAGGCCGCTCCTTATTTATAAGTTTGCACCCCTGAAAATTAAGGCTGGATAGGCCCCCGAATAAAATAAGCTGTCTGCTTTTGATGAATTACTTACACCATACAGTGTGCTCCATAAATCAATATCAAATTTGATAATCCAAGCTGAGGCTTTGTGCTCTACATATAAGGCGAAAACTGCTGACTGAGCTCCTCCAATGAAGCTCATCCATGTAGTGAGTGAAAGTTGTGCTGGATATTTTTGTAAGGTTATGGCCTGTAATGGTAATTAAGGGATGAGTAGTCTGAGTTTCTTAATTAATCATGCATGGTAATAGATAAAGAATCCATCTTTCATAACCATAGTTCTTTATCAGTGTTTGGAAACGGTGCTTTAAAGCTTTTAAGAAAGCACTTTTTGAAGCGAAACAGGTCAAAAATGTTGTGAAGTGCGCTCTTTATGATAGGCTTTGCAGCATAGAAAGCTTAAGCTGCAGTGTTTTTTAAATTCTGACAGCCTAATTAAACTTTCTATGCCATTCGAAAAGAAGAAAAGGAAATAAAAATAGTCAAAATAATTAAAAATTGTTATTTGCTTATGATCTGCCCCATGATAAAATAACCCACACTTATGCAGGTCAGGATGAAAGCTTCTTCTGTTTGATGTTTATGTTTTTGTAATTTATTCAGTTTTTGACAATCATGATACGTGGTAGCGGCGGACACGGATGGGGCAATGATGGAGTTTGTCAACTGGGTAGTTCCTCTGCTAGTGGCAATATCAGTGGAGATGGTGGTGGCTGATGATGGCAGAGACTAATGATGATAGTTATATTCAAAAATGGTTGTTTGTTTTGCTTGGTCATAAATTGAAGAGTGGTCATATGTTGCAAGGGAGGGGTTAGATTCACAAGTTGATTTGCGTCTGTGTTAGATCTGAGCATATGCGGGTTTGCAGGTCGAGATTGGCACAGCAAGCAGAATGGATCTATGGAGATTCGTGTGGTAATGATCGAGTTCCAGGTATGGGGCCAGTTGAACTTTGAATGAATGGGAAAACTCTTAGGTTTCGTTTGGGATAGTTTTCTTACTGCTTCTTAAAGCAGCTCTTTAAAGAGCTGCTTTAAGAAGCAGTAAGAAAGACCACCCAAACGTGGAACAGTTTTATTACACCATACTATACAGCAGCTTTTTAGTAATATTTTTTTTTAACAGCAAAAAAATAATGATCAAAATGAATGTGCTCCAATTATGAGAAAGAGAAAAGACAGTAGAGTTTCATACCTGCATGATGTACCATACTGACCAAGTTACACAACTTGTCACTGTGAAAATAGAACCTTTTAACCAGTTTTCATGGATTGTATTTCCTTGCATATGAATTACTGCACCCCATAAGTTTCTTACTGCTGAGCCTTTGTACAATGTCATGATTATAACACCAGCCAAGCAGACCATGGTCCCAATAACCTTAGCAGATCCTTGTAGACTCTGGACATTGAGATGCTCTAATCTATGCCATGGAAGAAAAAAAGTATTGTAATGAACAAAAAATTTCGGTTTTCAGTTATTGAAAAGTTAAGAGTCTTAGGATTCGTTTGAAACGACTTTTTTACTGCTTCTTAAAGCAGTTTTTTAGTACATAAATTTCAATTTTGTACAAAAAACTATTTTAAGAAGCAATAAAAAAGATGTCCCAAATGAAATCTTAATGAACTAAAAAGAAGGGTTCATACCTTAAGAGAACAGCTATAACAAATGTCATGGAAGGTATTGTGTTCACCATTGAAGAAAGAAAAGCAGGTGATGTGTATCTTAAGCTTGCAAAGTACATGTTCAGAGTTAGGCCTACCCTGTTTTGGTAAGAACAAAAGACAAAAAGTAAATGAGGTCCTCAGCAAATGATAGCTAAATTTTATAGGTCTGTTTACTTTAGTCTCAAAATGTTCACATATTCAATTTAGATTTTATATTTAGGCTTCATTTGAGATAGTTTTATTACTGTTTTCTAAAATAATTTTTTAGCAAAAAAAATTTCTTGTTCAAATTTTTTTTTACCAAAAAATTGTTTTAGAAAATAGTAAGGAAGATATCACAAAGGAAGCCTTAGTCTCGAAGTTGATCAAATTTTAATCAATTTGGTCATGTTGTTAATTTTGTCGTTCCTTTGGATGGATTGGGTGGATGAAAACTTTTCATTTAAGGAATTTTAGATCTATTTAGGGTTAGTTCAGTTGCTTTATACCAGCCCAAATTAATAAGATTGATTTGATTTGTTGAGTTGAGAGACTAAGATTTTGTTTGAGATAGCTTTCTTGCTGCTTGTTATAACAGCTTTCTAGTACAAATATTAAAATTTTTGTACTAAGAAGCTGATATAAGAAGTAATAAGAAAGTCGTCCTATAACGAAGCCTAAATTGAAGATTGAAAAAATTTTATACTAAAACACATACATACAAATTTAAGATCATTTTGATCCTTTTCTCATTTGAAAATATAAATTTGTAAAAATATGTAAGATTTTTTAAGCTTACCCTAGAAGTGAAAGCACAAAAATCTCCACAAACAATGCAAACGTCAGTTTTGGCCTCAACTTTCTGTAAAAATATAGAAACCAAACATCTTTGTGAGTAACTTTAGCAGTTCATTAAAGAAAACTAATCAGATCCTTCAACTTAAACAAATATAATATTTCAGATGCTGAAAATTAAACCTTTCAAGAAAATAAGCAAATGGTAACATGGCGAAGCCAGCAACAAAATTTCTGTAAGTTATATAAACATGTGGATTCATTCCATGGTTGAAAGAAGCTTCAGTGATGAAGTAGAGAATAGTATAGCCTATCTGTGCCAGAAACATCAGAATGTGTGGCTTAAATCTTCTGCATGTTCCTTGGAAAGCTTGTAATGCCATAATTCCACCCAGTTTGGATGATTTCAGAACTGAAATGGCTTTGATTTTATAGTGAGAATTTGCTTTGTTTCTGTAAAATTTACATGTAGAATCTGTCTTTAGCAAGTTGGCATCTGAAAATAACACCAATTTGTCTATATGCTTTTCTGGGAATTGTTCTTCATAGTTGATTAGTGTGACGAATAAAGAGGTCGAATAAGTTAATCCAATGGTCAAAAAATCTTATCCAAGTTTAGTATCTCGTAAGGAATTAATGAATATAGACTACTTCTCTGATCTCTGACTCTACATTTGGTTGAAAGACAGAGAAGAACATATATAATTCTTAGAGGTGGTGGATGATCCAATTGTAGAGAATATGTGGATTGCATTTGGATATGTCTAAGATAACTGTAGAGATTGCACTTTGCTAGTGCACCTGCTCTAAACCTGGTCAGTGGGTAGGGCTGGGTCAACCTGGGTTAGGACGGGTTGGGTCCGAGTCTATATTTTTGATTCGTTTGTCTAATCGGGTTGGGTTTGAGTTGGATCAACTGAAGGCGAGTAGAGTTTGGGTGAACTCAAACTCACCCCGAAAACCAATTTTGAAACCTCTAGACGTTAGGTTGACTATTTAACAATGCATAAGTTTTGACTTGAAAATCTTAGTTTGGGGGAAGTAAAACTCGAAGTGAAACAAACAAAAAATATAAAATGCAGCAGAAAAGAAAAAACACCAGAATTTAATGTGGAAAAACTCGAAACCACAAAATAACACAGGAGCCGCACTACACCAAGAAATTCATTATGAAAATTTGAGAGAAATAAAATAGAGATCTCTTCTCTCTCACAATATAGAATTTTCTTTATTCATTATTGCACCGTTCTAATACTAGAATATACAAAGAGATACAATAGAAATCACAAAGGGACACACCTTTTAATGAAAAACAAGAAATAAGAACTATACAGCACTGGGGGCTCGGGTACACAATGTTGGGGCGCTCAAGTACATAGTGAATGCCCCAGCGTTTGGGCGCAATGCAGAAAAAAAAATCATGTGCAAAGCATCCGAACCCAAGCAGGGAGAGGACTCACTGCAACTACGTAGCGAGTTCAATAGACTGAATTGAAATATGAGACGACAATACAACCCGATGGATGAATACAATCATATTCCACGTAGAACTAACATGATGATCTTGCTGTGGCAACCCATCTCAATAATTTATTGCCGTTGACCAAATTTTTGCAGTACCTCAATCTAACAATTGTAAGCATATCATAACATTTTACCATAATCTTTTATTTATTTCCATGCTTCTTGGTACTTAAACATTATTTGTCCTATAATGCTCTCCTATTCTATGTAAACTCTCACAACATGGGAAAATTATTGCGTCCGGTCACCTGACATGTGGACAGCCAATTCAGAGATGCCTCACCCGGATGCACTGGGCCCCGATATTTTTGAGTGATGTGGCGTGTTTTTATTGTTGTCCGAACGAATCCGGACATCGGACACAATAATTTGCCCACAACATGTCAGGTTCTTCCCAAGGGGTCTATAGACGTGTGGAGTGAGAAGAGCAAGGTACCAACAGATTGGGAAACACACATTACTAAAAAATAGGGCTATTATGGCACAAATTTTGACTTATCCCAGTAATTATACCCGTCATTAATTTCTTCGCAGCGGTTTTAAAACCGATGCAAAAGAAGGGTATTGTCAGCAATTATAAAACTGCTCCTAAGAATCGATGCGAAAATATTATTTTTTGATGGCGAGACAACCGAAGATATTAAACTAACTAATTACAGTAATGATGCATATATTCCTTTACAGGATATCATATCCTTCGCCGAAGGATTCTTCCATGCTTTGCTTTCACAGATACAACTGATATTATTCTAGCGGCCATTGTTCTTCACGCTTGTCTCTTCTCATGATTCTTAGTATCTGTGCATGCTTTGTGCGTCAGCTGATCCCCATGCAACTATGAAAGAGCACCTATTAGTGTCAGTATCTAGAAAAATTATTGTGTCCGGATGTCAAACGTTATTCATAGACGAATCAGAATGCTCCATATAACCTCTTGCTCAGTACCACGGCTTGGAACTGCTCGGTAATGCTGACGTGACACATTCTGGTTGGTCTCCGGACGGCGTTTTGCATCCGGTTCTCGCACAAAACAATGTATCCTGTATTTTGGGGTGTAAGTGGGTCAACCCGACTCGTAAGTTGGCTCGATAAATAGCTCATGAGTCAAGCAAGATGAGCTAACAAGACAAGGTCGAGCAAGCCCTGACTTGACCGGTTAGCTGGCAAGTCAGCTCGTTTAAAAAAATATTAATGTAAAATACATTATTGTTGTGGGCTAGAATATACGCGGCGATAGAGTTATAATTCTACGTCTTAGTGTTGCACGGATATCCAGCTCACACACAGAGAACACAATATTTTTTACGTGGAAAATCCGGGAAAGGGGAAAAACCACGGGGCCTAGCCCAGTTGAAAATGATTCCACTGGAATTTGAGAAAAGTACAATGGTCTGACTCGTCCTTGAAGGCGACCAGATTATAAGTATCAACTAAGAGTTTTGCAAGAGTCCAACGTCACTCCAATGTCAGGTGGCGATCCGATAGAACTCCGGTATCAGGCGGAAGACCGGTAGTGGTACTTCAGTGTTAGGGGGTACTTCAGCTTCGGATGGCACTTCAGCATCCCTTGGTGGTCTGTCGGTGGTACGGCAGAACTACGGCGGTGTTGCGACAATACTCCGGCGTCCCTTGGTGGTCCGGCGGTGGTGCGGCAAGACTACGGCGGTGGTGCGACAGCACTCCGGCGGTGGTCGAGGAGGAGCTAGGCGTCTAGAGCTTTCTTCCTTCTCTTCCTTCTTCTCTCTTGGCTTCCTTCCCCCTCATGAAGAATGAGGGGTCTATTTATAGATTTTCTGGAGTGGCATAGCTTGTAAATTGGTGTGAGATCAGGGGCAAATAGGGAGTGGCCGAATGGATGGCTGATATTGAATCCCATGATTGTGCACCGTTCGTTGGACATTTGAAGGCTTTACTGATGTCAGAATTCGGTGATCTTGGGCTCGTTAGATTTGTCTCATCGAGCCGTTCGATTCGAGTACAAGCTCATTAAAATCAGAGACCGTTTGGTAACTCAAATTGTGGTTAGATCCTTCTAAAAGTGCTTCGAGTCTCTGATTTGGACTCATTTGGGTTCAGATTGAGTCGATTTTGGTGTCGCTGCATTCGTCTTTCCGAGACGCTCAGTTCGACTATAAGTTTGCTGAAATCGGAATTCAGATGGTCTCCAATTTAATTTTTGAAGTTTCCAACTTGATTTTGCCTCGAGATTCGTGCTCGATCAAGATAATTTGTTGATGATGTATCAATTATAAATATATTAGTATTTAGAATTTTAAGTACAAAACTATATAAACAAAAGTTTTAAAATATATTAAACTTTCTTATATTAAATTATTCTTTATTAATTTTCTTTTAATTTCTCATAATTGTATGAATCATAATAATTTTCTCTATTTCATAATAAACGAGCCAGCTCATAAACTGGCTCGAACTCATAGAATAAAGCTCGAGCGAGCTTGAACTCGATTAATTAATCAAGCTGGTCAAGCTCAAATCAGGATTGACTCAGGCCCGACTCAATTAATTATTGTGTTAGATTTTTATTATAAAGAAGGTGTCATTATTAGATATGTTTATCTGAGAGGCTGAGTAGGAATGTGAATTTCTTTGCAAACCTCTATCATTAACATATAACGAAGTCATCAATTGACTAATTTATACAAAATGGTTAGTCATTTAATATATAATCTCTTCTTTCTCTTATTTTCTCTTATTAATTTTTATTAAATCTCCTCTAACTTTGAAACAAAAATATAATTAACATGAGCAATGCGCACCTAATAATCTCCTCAGCAAAGGAAGTTTTATGCTGTTCTACTTTTTCCACCATGCAAATAAGCTATTTTGTGTCGAGTTTGATATTTTTAACACATTAATTGATGTAATTAGTTTAACTAATGACCATTTTATTTCTAATTAGGTATCTTTTTATATGATTTTTTGTTTGATAAGATTCCCCAAAATTGGGTAGAGGGAATATGTTGCCTTGGAGAAGCCTATTTATCCAATTGATGAGATGATTGAGGCATAATTATTATGGCATGCATGAGATGCCTAATTGAGAATAATTTATTGGCTTTTCATGTAAATTTAGGTTTCATTTGAGACATCTTTCTTATTACTTTCTAAAGCAGTTTTTTAGTATCAAAATTTTTAGTTTAAAAAAAAAATTGTGCTAAAAAGCTGCTATAAAAAGCAACAAGAAAGCTGTCTCAAACAAAACTTAGGCCTCATTTGCATTATAAAGCAGTTTTTTAGTATAAAAATTTTTATGCTATAAAGCTGCTTTTGAAAGCATTAAGAAGTTGTCTCAAACTAAGCGGCCTTTGGTTTCGTTTCAGACATATTTTTTATTGCTTTCTAAAATAGTTTTGTAATTCAAAAATTTTTTGTACTAAAAAGCTATTTAAAAAAAACAATAAAAAAAACTGTCACTAATGAAACTTTAGCGTGCAAGTATTTCTAAGGTTTAATTTGGAACAATTTTCTTTCTTCTTCTTAAAACAACTTTTTAATATATAATTAAATTTTTTTATATTAAAAAGCTAATTTAAGAAGCATAAAAAAAGCATTCCCAACAAAACCTAAGTGTGAATCTTAGAATATAGAAGAAGCCAAATTGATGTGCCCTTTTGTAAAAATAATTATTTTTTGATAGGGCACAAAATCCTAAAAATCTATAAAAAGTCCTTTTAACGTTTTTATAAAAATTATCATCAATTATTTTTATTATTTTGAGTCAATTTTATTAATAGTATTTTAGTCATTAATTTCACTTAAATATGGTATGTGATATCATTAAGCAAAATGTATTAGCACTCTGAACTTGTGGGCTAATAAAAATTTGGCAAATAACAAATTATGTTAGGATGCTTTGTTATATTTTATATTCAAATTAGTATTTTTTTATTACACGTTTCATTGATTTTATATAAAGATGCCGAAAAAGAATTACGGGTTGGGTTCTGATATGATTTAAACTCAATCAATAGAATATGATCTTTTAATAAACGGGTCAAAAATATGGATATGACTTGACCCGCCAGTAGCTTGACTCGAACATGACTCAATAACCGATTTGAATTTAATATATATGTTGCGTGCTAGAATATACGCGGCGGTAGAGTTTGTAAATTTGTGTCCGAGCGTTGTACGAGTATTCAGCACACAAACAGAAAAGAGAAATGAACACCAAGGTTTTTACGTGGAAAACCCGAAAGAGGGAAAAAACCACGGGGCCTCGCCCAGTTGTAAAGTTCCACTAGTGTTTGTATGAAGTACAAAGGTTGATCTGTCTTACAAATCAAGAATCAGTTTACAATCAACTTCTCACACAAAGTTATAAAGTTCTACAAACTCCCGGCGTTTCCCAAAATCCGGCAAAGTTCTGGCGTCTTCAGGTGGCGGGAAGAGCTCCGGCGGTAGTCGAGGAGGAGCTTCTTCCTTCTTCTCTCTCTTCACTTGAGTCCCCTTTTGTGATGAATGAGGGCTCTATTTATAGTTTTTCTGGAGTGGCGTGGCTCGTAAATAAATGTGAGATCATGGCAAATAGGGAGTGGTTCGAATGGACGGCCGATATTGAACCCCTCGATCGTGCACAGTTTTTTGGACATTTGGAGGCCTTAATGATGTTGGAATTTGGCGATCTTAGGCTTGTTGGACTCACCTTGTCGATCCGTTCGATTCGAGTATAAGCTCGTCAAAATCGGAGACCGTTTGGTAACTCAAATTGATGTTTGAACCTTCCAACAGCGCTTCGGCTCCTTGATTCAGACTCATTTGGACTCGGATTGAGTTGAATTTGGTGTCGTTGGGTTTGTATTTCCGAGACGCTCAGTTTGACTGTAAGCTCGCTGAAATCGGAGTTCGGGTGCTCCCAAAATTATTTTTTGAAGTTTTCAACTAGCTTTTGCCTCGAGATTCGTGCCCGATCAAGCTAATTTTGTGTAAATTGTCTACTTGGAGTAACAAAGAAAAGAATTTATAGAAAATAATAATTAAACGGGTTGATCCTTGGTGCAAGAAGAAGGGGTGACTCATACCATCTTGACTTGGTTCTACTTCCACTCTTTTTTTTCTACAATACTGAGTCAGTTATTCTCCTACTAGTTAGAGGTGTCAATTTCGGGTCACGGGTCGGGTTCGGATCGAACCCGGAATTGACCCGGCATTAATCGGGTCAACCCTAACCCGACCAGTTTTTGCAAACGGATCGATTTTATAGACCCGAACCCGACCCGCTTCGGGTCAACTCGACCCCACCTATTTCAGCCAAATCCCGCGCCTCCATTCAAAAATTTAACCAAATCCCATTCAGCATTGGCAGCGGCCAGCCAGCGACAACGAGTAGGTGGGGCAGGCTACACGCGGCAGGCGGGGCAGGCTACACACGGCCGCGGGTCACGCGCACATATTGACAGGTCTAAGTGTGAGGATGAATCACAACCACATGATAAGAAATGACAACCATTCTATCATTGAATCTTACTTCACTACAATTATTGTGGCAGCATTAACCTTTTTTTATTTTTTTGCACGACTCAATTATTGGCCTCGATGTCCACGCTTTGTGTCGTCTGCCGGCTGTCTTGTCGTCCGCCTTCCCGTTGTCGCCGTCTAACCGTTTGTGTCAGGTCGAGTCAACTCGATAACTCAATGGGTCAGGTCCAAGTCTACACTTCTGACCAGCTTACATAACCAGGTTAGGTTCGTCCGTTTGAACCCGGGTCAATTTCGGATTCGACCCGAATCCAACCTGAAACTTGATTTTGACACCCCTACACCAAAGCCAAGCACTACGTGTCACAAAGCTCCAACTCAGGCTGGAGATAGGGAGTGAAGGTGCGCAATGCTCCAAACCTTAACATCATTGCGCTACGAGTCGGGTAGCTTTTTTTGTTATTTTTCATACTTAAATTGAATGTTAGGCTTTTTGGTGTATTTTAAGCTTATCTGTTTGTCTATTCTTTGTACATAATAAAGAATGTAGTAAAGTGAGATAAAAATAATGTGAGAGAGAAAGAGATTTGTATAATTTCTCTTAATTTTCATAATGAAATTTTTTCAATTGTGAGTTTTGTTTCATTAAGTATTTACGTGATATGCTTTCCCATCATTTTATGCATTCATCCTATGAAAATTTGGCTTTTGGTTTTTTTATTTGAAAATTGTTTATTTGTAAGAATGTAAAATTAAAGATCGAAAGCTTCAAATTATGAGATCTATTATGTATTAGAGATTCTCTTGTTATTGAATGGAAACGGTTAAATTTTGATTGAGGTTTGTGTGAAATCTTTATATTGTTGGAATTAGGGGTGCAAATGAGTCGGGCGAACTTCTTGTTGATCGTGTTTGACTCGTTAAAAAATTTGCTTGTTTGAAATAAGATCGAGTTAGAAATCGTTCGTGTTCAACTTATTTTGTAGAAAATTTGTGTGGTCTGAGTTTAGAGAGAATCATTTTCTAAATTGGTTGTATTTAGTCTATTTCTTTTAAGAAAGCACATTTTGTTATTTTATTAGCTATGTTTTCATTTTTTTTAGAATGAAAACTATTATATTCACCACTCGTTTGCTACTCGGCGACAATAACATCCAACTTCCTTCACTCACTAGAGAAATTATTCCGTACGAAGTCCTGACGGGAAGAACCGTCCCGACTGTGAGTGTATATATAGTGTGTATAAAAAATTGATACACATTGTGTACAAATTTATACACAATGTGTAAACTCACATGTCCGAACTGTTCTTCCCGTTCAGATTCTGCACGGAATAATTCTCCACCCACTGACACCACTAACCCCATCCCATCAACATCACACAACAACAACCACCACTATCATAAGATGCCATATTTGACTCATTAATTTCTCATATAATATTCAAAAAATAACATACAAAACCAAATCTAATTTTATTAGATATCAAAACATAAATAAAACAAAATAAAATATCTAAATAAGAAATAAAAATAAAAAATGATCTCAAACTGTCACTCAGACTAATCAGTCCAATAAATTTATACACCACTGAACTAATTTCCAATACATTTTTCTATTTAATTTTATGGTTCAACAATCAATAGACTAACAAATATTTTATAAAATAAAATGTTGATATCATCAAATTCATAATAATTAAAAAAAAAATACAATGAACTTGTTTCTTTTGCTTTCAAAGAATAATGGCTCTTATGGCATCAGCATATAAAATTATAAATGAATCACAGCCACATCAAAATGATCTGTATTTTGACAAGTTGGCACATCACTGTGGCATCATTTTTATAATTCCTCAACAAGTTATGACAAAATTACTTTGACTCAGCACTAAATACACTACGTAGGGGTGACAAAATATGACCTAATCCACAAACCTGATTCGAACACAAACTAAAAAATTCGAATTCAGGCTGACTCTTTTAATAAACAGAACGGTTTCAAGTTGACAAGCCAAGTCTATTTTGACTCTAAATGATCCGTTTAAACTATATTTTTCTTAATTTTTTTTTAATTTATTGGTATGATTATCATATTTTTTAATTAATTAATTTGAAATATATTATTAAAAAGTTAAAGATTTTTAAGTTAAAATGGGTTATCGGTTAGGATTGGGTCATTCGGATTGCTACCGGGTTGGATTCGGGTCCATATTTTTTACCCGTTTATAAAACATGCAAGATTTGAATTGATTAGATTCCGATTGGGTCTAAATATAAACCTAACTTGTTAGGACATGCTGGACTCGATTATATCTATACATTGTACAAGCAGTGCACTTACAGTTTCAGGCCCTTCTCTCTTGATCATGAATAAAGACCCGATACAACATTATAATTTTTATATCTTGAAAACTATAACAAATAAGAAATTTGGGTAAAGTTTTGGGATGAGATGAAAAACATAGTCCTGCATTGGTTACCTATACCCACACCCACCCATATATCCACCCATACCCAATGGGTATGGGTGGGTAAGGTTACGCTCATTGCCTTGTGTGTGGGTATAGGTGTGTACTCAACATCGGGGGATAAATCGATTTACATTGCTAATCACCGTATATCTTATATATTACTACAATCCTCACTGCGTAGTGTGCAACACTAAACCATGTTGCGGCTATGATAAAATCTGATATGCTGCTTGAATATTTGCAATCAGAGTAAAAGGCATCAAGCCTCAAGGCTATCAGTCCGTGACAGACTGCGTTCAAAAAGCATGGAAAGTGAGAGGGTATAAGTGGATACGGCGTCCCGAAAGTCACCATGGGTGGGGGTGGATGGGCAAAGCCCGTCCGAGTAAAACATGATTATCCAATGTGTACCCAACCAGGACCCATGTAGTACTTTTATGTCATTCTATATTTTGTTGTGTGCCGCAGTTATGTACCGAGTGATGTGACACATCATAATTCACCTCCGAACAGTCCAATAACCGCAAATAATAATTTCTTTTAAAACTGAGACTTTGTCACTCCAATAAAAGATAACTTATGGGTACTTTTGTGTTCTTTGATGAAGAATTTATTTGAGACAATTTTCTTCCTACTTTCTATAGCAATATTTTAGTTAAAAAATATTAAATTGTAAGACTAAAATTATTCAAATACTTGAATATTGATATATATACAGCTATAGAGGATTTTATGATTCTACATTATATATACAAAGAAAGCATTTGAATAGAGATTCAATATGAATAAAAATATAAAAATATTATAATTTAATGTAATATATGCAACTAATTATGTAATAAAATGATAATACTACTGAAGTATTTCAAAATATTTATGAATATTCAAAATTATTTCTAATTAATTCGCTACAAATTTCTGCGCATGTGGATTTTCTTAAATATTTATGAAGCGCCCTTCTTCACCGTCCCTTGCGGCTTGCAAGCAACATCCCGAAAGCAAAACATGAGGTCCACGTCGGTAAATATCCTCCACCAATCACTTATATCTCCGTCGCCGCTCTCCTCCGGCGAAGTCCGGCCATCTCTTCCGCTAACCTTTTTCGACTTGATATGGATCAACTACAGCCCCGTAGAACGCCTCTTCTTTTACCAGTTTCCCTATCCCACTTCCCACTTTCTTGACTTCCACCTCCCCATCTTCAAATCCTCCCTTTCCGTCGCCCTCTCCACTTTCTACCCTCTAGCCGCCACCATTCGCCGGCGCCAATCTGACGGCCGTTTTGAAATTGCCACCACCGACTCGGACTCCGTCACCCTCACCGTCTCCGAATACGAAGGCGCCGCCGCCGACTTCCTCGATATCTCTGGTGATCATTCCCGGCCGGTAGAGAAGCTTCTAGTTCTGATTCCTCGACTTCCAATATCCCGCGAAGAACAGCCTCTGCTAGCTGTTCAGGTCACTCTGTTTCCAAACTACGGCCTTTGCCTCGCCCTCGCCGTGCACCACGCAGCTTGTGACGGGTTCAGCTCAATGCAATTCGTCAAGTTATGGTCCGCCGCTGCGGCATCAGGCTTACGACTGGACAGATTAAATCCCGGGCTGCCAGCTCCGGTCATGGACCGAACCGTGATTCCTGATCCGCGAAACGTATACTTGCAGATAGAGAAGGGCGTTCTGGATGAGAGAGCCAAGGAAAAGATGGTGACTTCAGGAATCTCCGGCGGAGTTTTCGCCGCTACGTTAAGCATTTCCGCTCCGGAGATCGATCGGCTCAAGAAGCGGGTGCAGGGGAGGGCTGCGGAACAGGGGATGCGCCGTTTCCACTGTTCTTCTTTTGTGATATCCCTTGCTTATTCATGGACCTGCATGCTGAAAACTCGTTGCATAACTGACGGCGACGGCGCGGCGCACGTCTTATTCGCGGTGGACTGGCGGCGGAGAATTCGCCCTGAGATTCCGGCGAACTATTACGGGAATTGCCTCGCCCCATGCTATGTGAAGTGTAAAGCTGAAGAGCTTTTGGCGAAAGATGGGATTTTGGTTGCTTCCGCGGCCATTGGGACGGGGATTGAGGAGTTGGGAGATGACGTTCATGAGATTATAGATGGATTGATGGATAGGATTGGGGAGCTGGCGCCATGGCGGCCGTTGACGGTTGCGGGGTCGCCGAAGATGGGGGTTTACGAGACTGATTTTGGTTGGGGAAAGCCGAGGAAGGTGGAGGTGATATCGACGAGGGAGACGGGCGCCGTGGCGTTGGCTGAGAGCAGGGATGGAGAGGGAGGGATAGAGATTGGAGTTATTCTACCGGAGGAGGATTTAAAAGCTTTTGCAAAGCATTTCGCCGCCGGACGGGATTGGTGAAAACCTATGTTCCGTTCATGGAGTTCGTGAAGCCCATTTATATATAAATAATGTCTGCGTAGATAGCATGCCTGTGCATTGTAAAGTAAATAAGTATATTTTGAGTATTTCTATATATTTGATGCTACACAAAATAAATCTACAAGGTCAAAGGGAAGTATTTTAAAATTTATTTGTACTGCATTTATAATCGAGCGAATTCCAAATACACTGCCTCACTTTGCAGACATTCTCTCCTACGAAAAAACGTCTCGTGGTCTTCCTTCTCCCGCCTGCGACGATCTGGCCCTTGTTCCCGCCCAGTTCTCCCGCACAATAAAGCACCCTGTGAGTCTATGACCTACCTTCATTTGTGAGTCTCCGTAACCTAGCTTCGCTCGTGCCAACAAACGCAAATCAGTATTTGTCTCCCTTTCAGGTAACGGCACTCATCTCCTGCAATCATCTCCATAACTTGTGCTTCCCTACTCTTTTGATGGCTTCTTCTTCTAGTCTAATTCTTCATTGGGCAAGGCGAGCACTCATCTTCTATCAAAAAAAATTTTTTTCTAGCTCAATTTTATATCAAATTTGAAGTTACATTCAAATCAAATAATGTCTTTATAATCCTTTTTTCCAAAACAATGCAAGATTTTACCTACTTCCTTGCAAATAGTAAGTAAATGCCATTTATTTTTCTAGGAGCATTATGTTGTGAAAACTAATAATGAAATAAAGTTTTATATAACAATTTAGTGAAATTGCAAATGATATTACGAAGCAAATTTGTAATTACTTTTGGTTGCATTTTGAAACCAAATACTAAATATGGCAGTTATTTAGTACAATAAATTTTATTAATGCAATACATTTTATTAATACTAATTATGGAAGTTATTTAATACAATAAATTTTATTAATGAATATAAAAATTTTCAAAATCTCTTAAAATTATAATTAATATTGTGTAGTTAAAATATTTTTAATCAAATCATAATATTTTTACTTTATTCTATAGTCACTCAACCAACCAACCAAATTATAATTCATGATGCATTGACTTTATTTCACTCTGCATACATGCAGCCAAACAGAAAAAATATTTCCCTGCATTCAATTTACTTCAAACCAAACAGTTTCAAATTATTTACTTTATATTGCATTTACTTTACACTGCAATCACTTTACTGTTAATTAAATAGTCCTGAAATAAAATTGTTATTTGCTCTATTTTTAAGAATTAGTGGTGAAAAACAAAACGGCTAAAGATAAAATTTCAAATTTTTAATTTACAAAAGTTATTACATTTTTGATAAGTTAGAATATTTTTTATATTTATTCAAAAAGTTTTATTATGAGAAAAAAATTATAGTGATAATTACTTATGTAATATTTATAAGAATGTTTATTTTAAGATTTTAAATTTTTTATTTTGAGGCATAAATAAAATATTTATGATAATTTAAAAACTTATTTTTTTGTATCTTAATTTTATCAATAATTTTAGAGTTGTCAACTCAAACTCTTTATATTTTGATACACCATTAGAAGTTTTATTTGATCCAACATAATTTTTGAATTTTTTTTTTTCAATATTAACGGAACTTCAATTTTAATAAACCTATAGTCCAATTGAACGTAAGCCCACGTAGAATCTCCTGATCCCCATCGCACGACTATATCATTGTTGCCATAGTGTGTTATGGCATTACCATATATCAATCTCATTTGTTATTTGTCTTCATCACCTTTCACTGATTCTCTGATATCCTCCGTTACAATAAAAAAAAAGTCAAGATAGCAATCCCAACATTGTAGTACTATATTCTCCAATTGAGGAAAAATTATTAAGTGCCGTCATCGGTTCATTTTAAGGCGAATCAGGAAGTACTATATCATCCGATACACAACGTTATACAACAAAAAAGTAATGTGGGTGTTTCGCCTTCGAACAGCGTCTGGTGACCGCACAGAATAATTTCACTTAATTGAGATGCAAATCAGGTATTTTTAATCTTATTTACATAATCCATTATTTTAGTTAGGTCAAACGCAATAATTTAGTTATCGTATTTTCACGTAAAAATTATTGTGCCTTTTGCGGCCTAATTTTATTTGTGTATGATTGTATGTGGATCCCTATGCAACGCTAAGATAATAAACACTATCTTTCTCTTCTAACACCAACTTTTCACCATGAAACAAATTGATTTCGTATAGAAAAATATTTTCTAATATACTACAAATACTTTTTCAATATAATCTTGGACTCCAATCAATCTGCTAACTAGTCCCTTTAATCATAGAATTCATCATAATTAGGTCGCTAGTTTGGCACAGTAGACTCGCTGCTAAAGCTTTTGGTGGCCAAAAAATATTTTGTATGCTAATTTAGTGACCACTTATTAGTATTGATCGCTATTATGCATATTAACGATAATTTTTTAAGCTGATAAGTACTTAGATGGATGCTATTTAACAATTTTAATTATTAATTTTATTTATTACATTCTTTAAATAGCAACCAAAATAAAAAATTGGTCGTAAAATGATCAACCTAATAAATCACTCTTCTTTAATTTCTTGAAGTGTTCTATATATATTTATTATGGATATCAATTTTGGTGATATTTAATGAAATCTATTTCTTATCTAATTATTATGTCTTGGCTATAACATTGAAGATCAATCAATAGCTCTTTGATATTGTAGCATCTAATTATTTCTCATTAAAAAGACAAATAAATTACATAATAGAAAATAAGACTTATTTTATTATTTGAGGTAACAAAAAAGTATTGAATAAAAAAATTCAATTATCAATATAATTATCAAGAATTTGCTAGAAGAAAATGAAAATTATATTGATTCAAATACTTTCCATCAATTAAAATACAAAATATGATCTTTAAAATCATTAATCATAAAATCTATATTTATAAAATAATCTGTTATAACTTCTATAGCAGAACGCTGCGAAAGCCGATTGCTATAGAGGCTGTTGCCATAACAGCTGGTCCGACGTGGAATCTCACTCCCATAGCGAAAGTTGACACCTTATTCCCACATGCTATTATCCTTGGTTTGCAACGCCATGAGCAACCCTGCATGCTCATTACCATCTCCAGTTACCTCTACAAACATATTACTCTCCAGAGAGGCATAAAAGCAAACAACTTGCGAGCGCTATAGACTTAACCGTTCGACAAGTGTTGCAGATTAATAAAGAAGGTTTAAACATTCTGAAAACTACTCACTTAGGTATGCCGACAATCATACTGACGCCTAGGCGGCCATATAATGTTGACCATGAAAGGAGGCGAGCACCTGTATTTGTCTAAGTTAACATATTTTGAGGATGAAGGCAGCAGGCTTAGTCCCATTTTTTTATAGGAAGCTACACATTGGAGACTATTTAGATTGAAAAAGGGCTATTGAAATATCTTTTGAGTATATGGAAGTAGAACCTGAGAAAAAAGTTAAATATGTTGCATGTAAATTGAAAGGGGGAGCCGGCATGTGGTCATCACAATTACTCTAGACCAGAAGGTGGGAAGGCCGTGGTCAAGTACGAAGCTGGTATCAAAAGGAAAAGCTCTTGCGTGCACAATTTTTACCTACTGATTATGAGCAAATGATGTATTTGAAGTATCAACATTGTGTTCAAGGTAATCAATCTATTAGTGATTATATCAAGGAGTTCCATCAATTGAGTGCTAGGAATAACTTGAATGAGTGCACTAATCAATTAGTGGCCCGTTATATCGGTGGACTGAAAGATGCCATTCATGATAAGCTGGAATTGAATTCAATGTAGACACTATCACAAGCAATAAATTTTGCACTCAAGGCTGAGATGTAGCTTACTCGACAGCCACGCAACAACTACACTCAAAGACAGCTTTCTGAGCAAGTAATGGAAACCTCAAAATCAGCTTCAATAATTCCGCTAACATCTCCTGACCCAAAAGTGCAGCAGAATTTCAAAATTGTGGAGATAAAACCTTTTATGAAACATTTTAAATTTATTAGGGAGGATGTCAACACAAACTAATTTGACATCAAAGTGGATATATGAAATAAAAAAACATCGAACCTAGCGTTTTGCAACGAGCTCCCACTGTGACTTCCGATCCGACATAAAAAACATGGTAGAAAAAGGTGAAAAAGCTTCTTTATCGACTCTTTCAGAACTCTTCATCACTCGAATTACACACACTGAGCGGGATTTGAAGAGGACGAAGAAGCTTTCTAGTGCCTCCTGTTGTGACTTTCGAAGAGGCGAAGAAGCTTCTTTAACAACTCTTTCAAAATGTTTCTTCATCTTAAGCACGTGAAGCAGGATCCGAAAAGGTGGAGAAGAACGCGACCGAAGCTTCTTTTAGCGACTCTTTCAAAAGTCCTCATATGAAGCTCATGCCAAGTTGAGACAGGAGAGGAAGACGAACCGAAGAAAGAAATGGATGGGAGGGAAGTTCGAAGAGGCACGAAATCAAACGGTTATATAAAATCTTTTAAATCTAACTTTGATGAACTATTTTTTAAATGTATTGTATAATATAGTTAAAAAAATCAGTCATTGTGAGGCTTTCTTCTGTGTTTTCAATCTCATAAATTGATGACTTATTGAAAAAAAAATCAAAAAAGAAAAGAAGAGCATTGCCAAATGAAGCCAAGAAAGTCAAAATTGAGAGCACACGCTGTGAGCGGGAATTTGAATATTTTTGATATAGATGAATATCAAAATAAGTATGAGTTTTTGTCGAAGAGGCGAAGAAGATGGCGAAGAAGCTTATTTAACAACTCTTTCAAAATGAAGCTCGTGAAGCAGGATCCGAGGAGGCGGAGAAGAAGAGGAAGAAGCTCCTTTTAGCGACTCTTTCAAAAGTCCTCATGCCAAGCGGAGAAGAAGGCGACCTTATGGAAGTTTTAGAAGTTGCGAAGAGGCCAAAATATTTGTAGAAACCTATCAAACTTGGATCTTCCATTGGAGGAAGAAACAACGAGAAGACCTAAACACGAAAGCCACCCTAGACCACAAAAGGAACCACCAAGGTTGCCAAAACAAGTCATGACCTTCCAGGGGGTGTACGTCCAGGAAGCTTGCGTCATCATAGTCTGAAAAATAAAAGCTAACACACCACAGTCTTGCCATCAATCCACAAGATATCCAACAAACCAATCGGCCAACCTGTGTCTGAAAGTACCACCATCACCCAAGGCAATCCATAAAAAAAAAAAACATATCGAGCCTAAAAAGCAAAAAGAACCCATACAAAAAAAAAATCAAAATAGGGGTCATTAGTACCACCCGCAACACTCCAAAGAAAAAAGTCAAATCCAACTAAACAGACGTCAATAGTAGATTCAATATTTTTTTAATTAAACGGATTATCGGGTTCGGTTAGGGTTGCTAGCAGGTCAAGATTGGGTTCAATTTTTTGACCCACTTATTAAACAGGTAGGGTTCAGATTGATCGGATTCGAGTTAGGTCGATTTTGGGTACCATCTCAACCCGACTATTAACCCATTGTGCCACCCCTATCTCTATGTATTGGATCTTTCTATAAAATTAAGATATTAAATTTTTTTGCCATAAAATTTCTAGCACAGAATAATTATAATAAAAAAATTATTTAAATCGCAATAGAAACCAAATCCTAATATTATTGAAATAATCAATGAAATTGTCAAAATTGGTGAGCATGAAATCAAGATATAATCCAGTGGTTGAAAATGATTTAAATTTTCAAAGATTTTGGACTAAATTAAGTTGAATATGTTTATGATAGATCGCGATGGGCATTTATGTCTTTTCAAGTAATAGGTTAAAAAAATATCTTAAAATGGGTCTATCAGCTCATTGTCCATTCCAACTTCGTTAAAAACGATGTGTAAAATATGAATTTTATTCTTTTTTTTATTATTGTTTTTTTTTTAAAAAAAAAAATTTTAAATATGAATTTTATTGTCTTCTTATAAGACAACTAAATATTTGGCCAAATTAGCACACTCAATAATTTTATGGACAAAAGAAAAATTAACAGTAAGTACCTAGACTTTCAATTTGTGTGGAAAAGCTCAATAGAGTGACTATTTTATAATGATTTATTGAAAAATTTTATCAATTAAATATGAATATATATAAGTTAAAATTTTCAAAATTATATTTTATATCTTCTAAACTTTGATTACAATAAGATTATAGTTAAAATGAAAATTTTGATGAGATAAATTGAATGGCAGCAAACATGCATTAATCCAAGTCTAATTAGTTATAAATCAAGCGCAAAATTAGAAATTACATAGTACTATTTGAGGTATCAAATGAAATTTGAATCATTCATGCTTACAAATAGAATGAAAATCTCATTGAGAGAAATTCAGTGAGCCCAACATTAGTAGACTTTGATGTCATTATGGTGCTTAATTCTTAATGAACGGTTTATGATCAAGGGGTTAACATAGATCATCATGTGTAGATATTTTAGATTTTTTATTTCCACATTCTTTGCATTGGGGGGTGGGGGAGTTGGAGTTAGATAAACTCTACCCAGTGACTAATGTTGACGATCATCATCAGTAATTGCCATGCATTGCCACCCCAAAAATCTCACTAGCATCAAAATCATTAATGGCCTGTGTTTGGGCTACATTTTCTCCGTTGTTATCAACCTCATCCCTGCTAGCATCCACTTGGTTATACACAATAGCCGACACTTGTGTAGAAAGCTATTCACATGTGTGAACTCCAACGCCTAGATAACTCTATTTTATGGCCCCTTCATTATTCTCAGCTACCAACATTCTGAAAGTAAATCATGATGCATCAGCCATGCTGCTCTCCACGTCGATAAAAATCCTCAACCAATCCACTATACTCCATCTCCACTATACTCCATCTTTGCACTCTTTCAATGAAGTCTGACTATCTATTTCAGATGTTAAAATTGGTGTGCCCCACAAATACATTAACTCTTTTGAAAAATTCTGGTGGAAACTTATAGTTACAAAAAAATAGAAGGCAATGCATTTTCTCAAGATTGTGAACTATGTAAGTTCTTCTAAATAATTATTTCACTATTTCTAATAGTTAGAATGTTAGTTAACATAAAAATTGTTGAAAATTTTAGCTCTAAATTATTTAAGCTTGCTCAAAATTAATTACAGAGGCTCCGTTGAGTTCCCAAAGTATCAAATTTGGATCTAGAACATCAAAAATTGTCTTAGGGCCCTAAAATGATTAAATAAGCCTCTTGAGGTCTGATATAGGTCAGGCATGTATGCTAATAGACCACCTCTTTATTATGCACGAAGGGACTAATTCTTTACGTGAAAAATTAGAATAGTGAAAAGGGTATGAGGCTTAGCTCAATAATTTCGCTCTTTCTCTCAATTGGAGAAAATAATATTATAAAATTGTTATTATAAATTTGATTTTTTTTTTTATAAATAATTTGGACAATGTTAAAGATCTTGGGATTAGTGATGATGGTTAGACGATAACTATCAAGCGATGCAGGTCTAGTTGGGGTAGCCTTGTAAGGATGATAATGATCGAATTATGACATGCAAGGTACATCAATTTGGTGACTGCGGTCAAATAACATCACACTGGATGGGGATAAATAAGCAATAACATTCAAACAATAACGTTTAGTAGCGATGAAGGTTGACATCGAGTAAACAAGGCTCAAAAGTTTCTTAGAACTCTTAAGCATTTTTCAAATGCAGTTGAATGTCAAGACCCCCTTCTCATATCAAGAATGTGACCTATTTATTATTCTCACATTTCACTTTCATAATCTCAGGCAAAATCCTAAAATACTTATAAGATGACCAATATTAATTATCTTTTATATAATCTAAAAAAATGAGTATCCTAAGCTTATTGGACTCTTTTTATTAAAGCACACATTTTAGATCCGAGCACTTCACATTTGAGATTCAAATATCGTTTGATTATTAAATTAATATTTAAAAAAAGTTAATAATTCTTTAAATGCTTATTTACACTTATTCAAACTCAAATCACAATATTTTTGGTGTGTTATCATCTCATTAAAATCTTTAATTTGACGATTATTTTTTCATCTAAAATTAAAGTTGAGATAATCCTAAATTTAAATCTAAATATTTTCATCTCAAATCTTATATTCAGATTAGGAACTTTTATTTGGTCCGTTGAACGTATGTAGAGTTACTTTCGGCCGGCACTAAGATCGCAGGCACAAAACGAGAAATACTGAGCAATACCAACAATAACGAGAAATACCATTATGTGAAGACAAAATACCGAGCAATGCCGAGTAATCCCAAAAAAAACATAATTTTTTTCTGGAAAAACTCGGTATTTTTTGGGATTACTAGGTATTACTCGGTATTTGTCTTCACAGAGCGGTATTCCGGGTTATTACCAAACAATACCTAACAATACCGACCAAATACCGAGCAAAAAACGAGTAATAATCCGCTGACCAAACGTAAAGCTACATAAAAGTTGTTCTCAGATTAGTGGATAGGCAGTTGATTAATTTGATCTAAAAATGTTTGGAAATGATATGAAAAAAGGTTATTTAAAATTAATTTTAATGTTTAAAATTTAAAATTTCATTCTAATATAATTTTGATTGAAATTTACTAAAACTATAATAAAATATTATTTTCATCCCCATTACATCTATATTAAATGATCTAAAAAATTTAGTTAAAATATATTTATACATGTTCATTTTAATTAAAAGGCTTTTGTAAATTATTATTTAATAAATTAAATTACTAATATTAAAATAATATTTATTTAATATTACCTCCAACCAATTCTCTCCTTATTTCTCTCTTATTCTTCTAGTCTCTCTCTCCCATTTTCTCTCTTTGCCCTCTCACTTATTCTCTTTCTCTCCCTATTTCTATTATTTTGTTTATTTTAAATTTTAATGACAAATGATATGAATTATTCATAATGCGCCAAATCATTTGATTATTTTATCCTTTTTTAAATACATTCCTTTAAATAAATTTTAGGAATAACATGATGTTTTTTAAAAATTGAAATTTCCCACCGATGCTTAGTTTGGTTGATGGGCGAGTACGATTGGCCGGGAACCCCCTAACCCGTGCTCGATTCCCCTCGATTGTCAGCGACTCTTAAGTGTGGCCCAATCAAATGTGGGCAAAGAGGTTTCAAGGATGGGTGTCATTAGTCGCGCTTTTGGATGTGGCATCAGGTGGATACCCTATTCCAAAAAAAAAAACCTTTCTCTCTCTCTCTCTCCATCCTTTTTCTCTTTCTATCTCTCTCATCTCTCTCCATCATTTCTGATTTCTCTCTTCTCCTTCAATATAATAGACCAATTCATATGGCCCATTCAGACCACAGTTTGACGAATTTACTTTGTTTAATTATTTTAATAATCACAAATCTTTCACTTAATTATATTTTAAACACACTACTTTTTAAAATTCGTCCATTTATCCACCCTCCGACGTCCTCCACAAAGCGTGAAGAATCAGCCATGAAGTTCGCCGAGTCGGTAAAAATCCTCGACCAATCCCTTGTATCTCCCCCGCCGCTGTCCTCCGGCGAAGTCCGATCATCTCTCCCCCTCACCTTTTTCGACATGTTCTGGCTCAACTACAGCCCCGTGGAACGCCTCTTCTTCTACCAGTTCCCCTATTCCGCTGACCACTTTCTTGACTTCCACCTCCCTATTTTCAAATCCGCCCTATCCGTCGCTCTGTCCGTCTTCTACCCTCTCGCCGCCACCATCCGCCGCCGCCAACCTGATGGTCATTTCGAAATAGCCACTACCGACTCCGACTCCGTCACCCTTACCGTCTCCGAATACGAAGGCGCCGCCTTCGATTTCCTTGAAATATCCGGCGACCATTCTCGGCCGGTAGAGAAGCTGCTCCCGTTGGTTCCCCGACTTCCTATGTCCCCCGAAGAACAGCCACTTCTCTCTGTACAGGTCACTCTGTTTCCAAACTACGGCCTTTGCCTTGCCATCGCCGTGCATCACGCAGCCTGCGACGGGTTCAGCTCGATGCAGTTCGTCAAGTTATGGTCCGCCGCCGTAGCCGCCGGTTTACGACCGGATGGGTCAAGTCCCCAGCCGCCAGCTCCTGTCATAGACCGAACCGTGATTCCCGATCCTCGAAACCTGTACTTGCAGATGGAGAAGGGCGTCCTAGATGAGAGAGCTAAGGAAAAGAAGGTGACCTCAGGAATCGCCGGCAGCGTTTTCGCCACCACGTTCACCCTTTCCGCGCCGGAGATTGGTAGGCTCAAGAAGCAGATGCAGGTGAAGGCAGCTGAACAGGGGATGCGCAGTTTCCATTGTTCTTCTTTTGTGATCTCTCTTGCGTATTCGTGGATCTGCTTGCTGAAAACACGTCGCATAACCGACGGCGACGGCGCAGCGCACGTCGTCTTTGCGGTGGACTGGCGACGGAGGATTCGTCCGGAGATTCCGGCGAACTATTTCGGAAACTGCATCAGTGGATGCTTTGCGAAGTGGGATGCTGAAGAACTTTTGGCGAAAGATGGGATTTTGGTTGCCTGCGCGGCCATAGGGAAGGCGATTGACGACTTGGGAGATGACGCTCATGAGAGTATGGATGGACTGGTAGATAGGATTGGAAAGGTGGTGCCATGGCGGCCGTTGACGGTTTCGGGGTCGCCGAAGATGGGTGTTTACGAAACAGACTTTGGATGGGGGAAGCCGAGGAAGGTGGAGGTGATTTCGACGAGAGAGACGGGAGCCGTGGCGTTGGCGGAGAGCAGGGATGGAGAGGGAGGGATAGAGATTGGAGTTATTCTACCGGAGGAGGATTTAAAAGCTTTTGCTAAGCATTTCGCCGCCGGACGGGATTGGTGAAAAGCTCTATTTTTCGCCGTTCATGGGACGAAGGAGGACGGCCGGAAAAAAATATGATCTTTGATATACTCATATACTATACTTTACGCTTTGATATACTGTACTCTGCGCTGAATTATGTATTGGAAAAGAGGAGTTTTTTTTTTTCTTTTGCATTTTATTTGAAAATAATGGACGGTGCGCAGGCTTTTATTTTAATGAAATAAAATTGTTATTTAGTCTGTTTTAAGATTGATATTAATTGTTGAACATTATTGGTGGTAAGTAAAATTACTAAGGATAAATTTCCCAAAATATTTTACACTTCTTTAAAAAAATTTATGATAAAAAAATATTTTAGTTTAATTGTAGTGTAATGTTTATGAAAAGTTTGTATGTGGATTTTTGAAGAAAAAATATATTTTTCTGATTAATTTTAGAAGATTTATTATTTTCACACTAATTATATTAATAATTTTAGAGCAATAATGGACTCAAAGCCTTTATATTTTGATAATTTGTTACAAAATTTGATGCAATATTTGAATTAAAAGTTCTAAATCAAGCAATTGAAGCATTGAGCTTAGCCCTCAATTTTTTCAAAAAAACAAAAAAAAAAATCATATTTATTTACTTCAATTGATTTTGAAAGTTTCAGTCATAACTTGTCTTTCAATTAAATTTTGAATAAATTTTTTGAATTTCATATGAAATTCTTAAATTTTAAATTTTTGTTAGAACCAAAAATAAATTAAATTTCTATGATGTGCATCATGAACTAAATCATAAATAATATTTTTTTTTCATGAATATTAACTTTGTTAATAGTATTATAATAAAATTTTAATCACAATTGAAATTAAATCTCAAATTCAATGAAATACTTGATGATATTGTCAAAATTAGTGAGATTTAAATCAAGATTTAGAATTTGCTTGGGACAACTTCAGTTTTTTATAAAGCTGAGATGATTGTAAAGTTACTATGTATGAAGTAACTTTTATGAAAGCAACTGTAGAAAGCAACTTAATAGCATAATTTTTTTTTTGAAAACAATGAAAAAGAAGTTGTCAAATAGAAATTTTGGTTGTAATATGAAAAGCAAAGTAGTAAGAAAACTGTTCAAAATTATTTGGGACAGCTTTCTTACTGCTTTGTAAAATTATTGCAGAGAAATTAACTTTTTAAAGTTATTGTAGAAAGCAATTTCACATTACAAAAATTTTTGAAAGCAGGAAAAAAGCAGCGGATAAACAAAAATTATGGTTATTATCTCAAAGCAAAGTAAAAAAGAAATTATATCAAACGAAACATTAATCCTATGATTGAAAGTGATTTTAATTGTGATAATTTTTTGACTAAATTAAGTTGAATTTGTTTATGATAGATTGTTGTGGGCATTCATGTCTTTTAAATTAAGAGATTAAAAAAATCTTAAAATATTGGAGCTATAAGCTCATTGTCCATTCCAACCGCGTTAAAAACGATTTAGAAAATATAAATTTTATTGTCTTTTGTAAGACAATTGAATTAGGCTAGAATGTTTGGCCAATTAGCACACTCAATATTATTTTGGGCAAAGAAAAAAAATGATAGTAAGGACTTTGACTTATCAATTTGTGTGGGAAAACCTCAATAGAGGGACTATTGTATAATGATTTATGATATTTTATTTAAAAAAATTTATATGTATGAATCTTAATATATGTAACTTAAAAATTTTTTAAGTTAAATTTTTATCATTAGAATTTCAATTGGTTTAAAAATGCCTTTATATGAGTAGAAATAGTCATAAATCAAGTACCTAAAATACCATTAGAAATTGCATAACATTGTTTGAGTGATTAAATAATCTTCAAACCTTCAAGTGCTTATACTTAGTTTAGAATCTTGATGAAAGAAATTTAACAAGCTCAACAACAATAAATTTGGATGACATTAAGCTACTCAATGCTAGCAGACCATATGAAAAAATATTTTAAAATTTTGAAGTCAGACAGTTGGTGGACTGGCAGAAATCCGTCGTTAGTTGGTGGACTGGCAGAATTCCAGCATTAGTCGACGACCTGGCCGAAGCATTGCGGTGGTCGAGGAGTCTGGTGGAAAGAGAACTTGAGTTTCTATCTCTTCATTCTCTTCCTTGCTTTATTAACACTCAATGAATAATGAAATGTGATCTATTTATAGTTTCTGAGAGTGGCATGACCACTAAATAGGGAGGAGATCAAGGGCAAGTTGGAAGTGGTTTGAATGAAAGGCTGATGTTGATCACCTTGATATTGGATCGTTTATTGGGCATTTAAATGTCTTAATGATATAAGAATTTGACAATCTTAGGCTCGTTGGATTTTTCTCATCAAGCCGCTCGATTTGACTACAAGCATGTCACGTTTGGAAATCGTTTGGTCATCCAATTTATGGTTTGAACTTTCCATAGGCACTTCGGGTCTTCGATTTGGTCCCATTTGGGCTCGGATTAAGTTGAATTTGGTGGCTTTGGGTTCGTCTTTTCGAGACGTTCAATTCAACTATAGTTTGCTAAAAGCAGAGTTCATATGATCCCGAATTTAATTTCAAAAGTTTCTAACTTAATTTTGCCTCAAGATTCATGACCGATCAAAATACTTTTTTGATGATATATCAATAGTATATCTCGTTGAGAAGGGCACAGATCATTAAAATTATTTTGATTAGAGCTCAATAGAAATCAAGCAATTTGAATGATCAAATAATTGATATGGGCATTTATGTATTTTCAATTAAGAGAAAAAAAATTAAAATTGAGCTATCATTAAGCTTATTGCTTATTCCAACTTCATTAGTAACAATGTGGAAAATATTAATTGTATTGTCTTCTTATAAGACAATTGAATTAGGTAGGAAATATTTGGCCAAATTCGAATATTCTTTTCTTTTTTGTGGGCAAAGAGTAGTTAAGAGTGAACTAAAGACTTTTCAGTGTGTGGGATAAGAGATTAATAGGGCCCTATTTTATAATAATTTATGATATTTTATATTAAAAATTTCATTAATTGAATTAAGTTAAAAAAAATTTTAAATTAAATTTATTATCTTCTAAAATTTGATTTCAACAAAACTACCAATTCAAAAATTCCATTTATCTATGTCCAAATAGTATAAATCAAGCATTTAAACTATAATTATAAATTAAATTGCATAATATTGTTTCTGAGTGACCAACTTCCTCTGCTAGGGTTTCCGCCGTCACAATGAGTTTTGGCGTTTTGGTGGCTGTTCCTTCCCGTTTTTCTTCAGTTTTTTTGGTGTTTGTCTCATGGCTTCCACTCGCCTTCGTGATCCCGGTTTCCTGAAGGGGGCTGCTGCGCCTTTATCTTTTAAAGACGCTTTAGCTGGTAGTTCTTCTACTTTTCCTGAGTTATGCGTTTCTTCTCATCGTGGTTTGCCGGCTCTATTGATTTCCGAGGAAGAAATTCGTTCCCTTGCGGCCCCTTTTGATTTTTCTTTGGTTGGTCGTTTTCCGGGAAGGCGTCCGCTGGTTGATGCGATTCAGAATTTTTGTTTTAATTTAAAGCTGATTGGAGAATTCTCGGTCACTGTTCTTAATCACCTGAACGTTTTGATTAAGTTAGTGAACGATTTTGATTATTGCTGTATGTTTTCTCATAGATCTTACTTTGTGAAAAATTGTTTTAAGAAAGTGGTGAAATGGTCTCCCAATTTGGATGTTGAGGTGGAGTCCCCTATTGTGCCGATTTGGGTTTCTTTCCCTCTTCTTAGACCTCATTTGTTTTCTCCTAGAATCCTCTCTGGATTAGGTTCTCTTTCGGTAAACCTCTCAAGTCGGATATGGCCACTGCTTTGGGCTCTCGTCCGTCCATGGCGCGTATCATGATTGAATTGGATGTTAAGAAGAAATACCCTGATAAAATTTGGGTTGGTTCTGTGGAAATGGGCTATGTTCAATCGGTTGTTTTTGATGACATTCCGCTATTTTGTATGCATTGTCAGTCCTTAATTAGGTCACTCTAAGGATAACTGCCCTATTTTACATCCTATTGCTAAACCTGCGGTGGCTTTGTCTGAGAAATTGGATGTGATTGTTGGTAATTCGAAGGTGGTTAATGATGTACTGGATGTTGTCGTTAAGGATTCTAATGTTGCTGCAACTATGGTATCTCATAATGCTTTACATTATGTTCCGGTGATTAATTTTCCTGCGGTGTCAAATAATCTAGCTCCAGGCTCTGTGTCGAATTCTGATGTTGGTTTTGGGGCTTTACCTTCTGGTGAGCTGTCGGGGTGTTCCCCTGTGGCTGGGGGCCCTGTTGCTTTGGCTGGTGGTCATTTAGAGCCTGGCATGAATTCTCCTGTGGGTGTTGTTAACTGTAATAGCCCGGCTGTGCTTGATGTTGGTGTCAATTTGTTGGATATTGATGTTTCTTCGTTGTCTCCTAATGTCATTCCTTTTATTCCCTCGTGTTTGGTGGACGGCTTTGGTTCGTCGGATGTGATTGTGGACTCTTTGGCGGTTGGTCTGGTGGCGGAGTTGGTAAGCACCACCTTCTCTTGCCGAGGGTGGAAGGGGGTCTGGTGGTTCGCCTGTTTTGGGTGTTGTGGAACCAAATGGGTGTGGCCAAGTTTTTAATAAGTCAGAAGGTGGTGCTGCTGTTAATTCGTCTGTTGAATCTTTTCCTGTTGGGTTTGAGGCTGAGCCTCCCACTACGGGAAAACACGCGATTACTGTCGGATTTTCCGGCGGAAAATTTTGCGCCGGTAAGAACGGCGCAGGTAACGGCGAATTATTGCGACGAAAACCTTACGACGCATTTTCTGGCGCAAAGTACGCCGGAAACCTTCCGGCGGCCCATGCGCCGGTCTATGCGTCGGTAAAACGAGCTCTGAACCATTTCCGTCGCACGTTACGACGGAAAAATACCGGCGCAAATGACCGGCTGATATTGCGCCGGAGTATTTAAACTCAACGAATTATTTCAAGCGCAAATTGTGTCGGCAATGTTACCGGCGTTTAAGCCGTCGGAAAGTCCGCCGGTGAAAGACCTATTTTTCGTCACCGAGCCCCTCTTGCCGCTCATTCGTTTCCTTCCGTTCTCTCACCTCGCGTGTTTCGCCCGTCGCCGTCCGTCGTTCGCCATGGATTGACGTCGCCGACGGTTACCAGACTTCGCCGTCGA